ACACTCATTAATCATTAGTCTCATTTTACCACATGAGTGTACAGTTTCATTTCGAAGCCAGATTGCTGCAGGCATTAAGGAAACATCTTAATTTGCACTTGTTGAATAACTGGAACACAAGATGAGGTGTCCAAGTAATCACTTAAATAAAGCTATTAAATACCAAAATTTAAAAAAAAAAAAAAACAGTACCCATGCGGTAATACTTTGGTAGTGTTAAGCTGGCAACCCAATCGCTTTTTCTTTTGAAGTTCTGTGATACCTTAAGATGAGATTATTTCTGTAAAAAAATGGCTTAATTTCTGAGGTCTGAATATGAAGTAATAATTGAGATCATATCCTTAAACCCTTGCATCATCTAAATCCTAATTAAACTTTCTATCAAGTTCCGTGCAGCTAGTTAAAACAAGCATATTATAAATGGAGCTGAAGTTCTTCCTGAAGATCTGGTCATGATGGACTGTCAAGGATGGGAAACCAGCATTCGATTAAGGCACGAATTCCACCTAAAAGTAATGATAAGAGCGTTCTATTCGTTACTAGATTATATTTGAACTATATAAAAGAAACCATACTGAAAGAAATCATATGCAAGTAGAAAACTGAAACTTTCTGTTGGATGTTTATGGAAAGTAACATTTCTGGAAATTACAGCATGTTTGTATCAAAGTACTACAGAATATGAGACAATGGGGGTAAATGTGAGTCAGGTCAATAACCAAAGAACAAAAGTGTGGGAGACAATGAGGATTCAGTCAAAAGGGAACTTTTGAACTTACAGCTTCGAGATGAAGTTGAAACTAAGCAGTGGACTTGTCACCACGTTTCACACTCTGCAAGTAAAGTCAATCCGAATTCTGTGGAAGTCACAAGGGTTTGGGAGGGATTGGGTTTAACTGGGTGAAATCGCTAAGGAGTTGTGCTGTAACGTAAATTGTGAGAGCTGTATACTTCGACAGTGCTTCGCTTCGCAGCTGTTGAAAAGCGCTTTGTCAATTTCGCCAACTACCAGATATTGATTTCAATGCACCACTAGGTGGTGTTGTTTGACTGTTCGCCGTACAGAATTTCATCACGCATTTCGTTTCTATTTGTGAATGAGACTTGGTCGTTCTCAATGGCCCCCGCTTACTGGATATCGTCAAAGGGCCAGGTTGATTGCCACCTTTTCCCTCCCGTATTCATAGGCAAAGCAAGCGCAGATAAGAGTATGTCTGTGGAAATAGTGTGGCATGTCTGGCAGTGGACAGTGAGTAGGGGTTCAGCAGGTATGGTGGAGGTTGGGACATTCAGGCCAACCTAAATTTTGCCCCCTCTGTGACCCAAGTCACAGGCAGGTGGCTGTTATATTTAAACCGCACAGGAAGTAATGGCCTGTACTCTTAAAGGCCCATAGGGGCACCTTTCTAGACAGCGTGAAATGCATTACACATTACACATACCCCCATCTTCCAGTGGCATATCCAGTACTGGTGTCCCCTACCTCATGGGACAGGCTCCAGACTCACCACAACCTTGTAATAGGTAAGCAAGGATGGATTCAGGATTTATTGACAAAGATTATCATTTTAATGACCAGCACACAGTTTAATGTATGTAAATAGGAAGAATATTACAGTGCCACCAAGACAAATATGATGCTCGTCACCAAGACATATTTCCCTAATGGTGTGATTTAGTTAAGTGGCATGTCAGCAGGAATACATGAATCTTTTTGGTCCCTGGTTCATTTTGTGATGTAAGCGTGATAGCTGTGGCAATACCATGAGTCAGCGGGAGTGGTAGCAGCGTGGCTGTACATCCTCGTGGGCCCATCACCGTAATCTCACAGCTGGGGTCACTCAGATTGCAGAGGATTACGTAACATTTAATGCAGCGGAACTCATTTCAGTCTAATCCACATGATTTTTTTGGTTAAGGATTAGCAAAGTGATCGTGAATATTGGGGGAGAGATGTTGTAAGAAACTGGCTCTGAGACTGGCACAGAGCGAGCAAACATACACATACTCTCTGCACAAAAGACAGGGTGGGTTTGAGTGCTTTGGGCTGCAGGGTCCATGGTGATATGGAGCTTCGAACGTGACCTGGATGCCTCAGATAAGACAGATGACATCCCCGCGGGAAGCTGACTGAGAGGTAAACCCACCATTCTCATGTCTATATCAGGAATAAGAGATTGTTTTCAAGCTGTGACACTTATTCAAAATATTAAATATGTGCTATTGCAATAGTTGTTTCAGTATAACTTTTCTTAAGGTTTTGTGGGTGATGATTAGATTCATCCTGCAGTTATAATTCTTTACATCAGTGTTTCCCAGTCTGGTCCTCCACGACCCACAGACAGTCCATACTGGGAGCTGGGAGGGAGCAAAAACGTGGACCGTCTGTGGGTCCCCCAGGACCGGACTGGGAAACACTGCTTTACATATTAAACATGGGCAGATAATTTTGCTTGTAATGCAGTTGTGTGAATAGTTACTGGACCCTAACTTGCAGAGTGAGATTGCAGTGATTTAGCTCTCGCTGTGATGGGTTATGGGTGGCTCAGTGGCTCGCACTGTAGCCTCACTGGCTGTGGGTTTGATTCCTGCTCTGGGTCAGTGTAGTCCCTCTTTCCTGGGATTAGCTCTAAGCTCACCACGACCTTCTACCCCACATGCGGCTGGATGTGACAGCCAGAGAGAAGCTCACTTCGTCAGTCCCAAATGACAGCCGGGTTTACCAGCCTGATGTCATTTAGCAAAACTCTGAGCGCAGACACAAAGAGCAGAACTACTGGGGTGGTCCGCTGGGCAGGACTGCAGACTTCACAATGTAAAAGATAAATCTCTGACAACACTGGAAAGGCACATAAAGCTACAATCCTTGTCCTCCTACGTGTTTAGCATCATTAGGGTTCATGTCTAACTAAAACGCCCATTAGGTCTTAAATCTCCTACTTCAGACAGACTTGTGGTATTATTGCAGTAGGTGGGAATGCAATGTCATTTTTGGGAGCTTCCCTTGGGTGTGTACCTTAGGCTGAGACAGAGCAGCCCAGACCAACAGCACAAATGCCCCTCGCTGCTGTTGACATTACAGGCTGCTTTATGTTCACTTGCTTTTCCTGCAGATGAGCTGTTCAACTGCAAATTGCTTTGTTTACTTTAGCCGCTCTGGTCAAAGCCGGGCTGTAGCCATGCAAAAAGTTAAAACACCCTCAAAACAAGGAACATTTATCACACCCTAATTGTTTTTCTGAGACGTGGTGTCAGAAGTCACGTACAGTTTATTTAAGGCTATTTAAGATAAATGAAAAATGTTGAGACGTGAATTAAATGTGCTTAGAAACCCAGAGAAAGTTTTTTTCTTCCATTCCCCTTTGTTACTCCCATTCTTGGATACATGGTGCCCACACACAAAGATTGTTCCATGATGTTTTAATAGGACTGGTATTTAGAAAAAGTGCAAATTCTTTGTGACTTTGTATGCAATTCTGAGTAATAGAAACCATTTAAAAATCTGGATCTTTTTTTTAAAAAACAAAAAAACAAAACAATTAATTCAGGAAATTTTAGTAACAGGCAATAGAAGACATAGAGTCTATATACATATTTAGGCTATTTGGAACAATCATCAGCTATAAAGGATTCAGCAGTCAAGAGATGTCACAGGCTGGAACTTGGATCAGAGTTTTTCCAAATGGTATTTCAGAATCAACCTTTATCAGCCTTTATTCGCCAAGTGTGCTGGGGCACACAAGGAATTTGTTCCGGCAGCTTGAGACTCTCTCGTACAGGTGCCTCCTCATGGATGCGAAAGCTGGACAATGAAGAAGCAGGAAAGGAAGAATATTGATGCCTTTGAATTTTGGTTCAGATCATTAAGGATATCATGAACTGCAAGGCAAAAAATAAGTGGAAGGAAGAAGAGGGTGCCCCTGCCCCCCCCCCACCCCCCACCCCCGCTTTCTCAACTGCATGTCGCTTTAAAAAGAAAGCGCCCCCCCCCCCCTCCCCCTTTAGTTTGGGACTAGATAACCCTGCTTGAAGTCCTTTCAGATTGAATCTTCAAACAATCACAGCATTCCTGGCCTTGTCAGGAAGAAGAAGGGTTTGGTTGAAGGCTGTAAGCCAGAATGCAGGTGGTGATGGCCCTACAAGGGTGGAGGAGGTCTGAACCGCAGAAGGACGCAATGTCACATTAGCTACCCTGGGGTGGAGAACCTGAAGGAGAATAATGGGCTTTGCCACCTTACGAACCAAAGTCAAGGTCCTGGGTGGGGGAAGGTCATGACTGCACAATGGAGTTTTTGTTGAATGGGGGGAGGGTTGTTCTTTCCTGATTAATGAAGTTGTTCAACCTAACATCAGCTATTAAAAACCAACAAGTATTTGGTATTTCCCATAGACCATGGTGACTGCATCTACGAACCTGTCGGGTGTAGATAGAAGGTTTAAATTTAGGGGGGAGCCAGACATGACCTCCTCCCCCTCTACCACCGAATGGTATGTGCAAGGCTACAATAAATACTTCACTTGAGTTTTTACACTTGAGTTAGCGTGCTGTGATTCTTGGATCTGAATGTACAGAAGCTAAAAATCCCCCTTGAGCTTCAAATTACACTCGACTGCTCCTTGCCTTCATAGACCTACAAATCCACTCTGCCAAAAGGCAAGTGTTTTATTGACATCCTACGTGTTTATTGCAGTTGCCCGTGAATTAGTTTCGGAATTGTTCGAGGGTATATTTTCATCAACGTTGATTAAGGCACGTAAACAGTACGCCATAAACAAAGGAAATCCCTAGGCCTGAGTCTAGGTCTGAGTTTGGTCTTCCTTTCCTCTCTGCAGCAAGATTCCTTAGTTTTTTTTTTCCTCTCAAATTCAAGGATAATGTTACGAGGCTCCTCCCACTGGGACTGACCCATTCGGGCGTCTCCACCAATAGTTTCGCTTTTGCCTTCCTTCTTGAACTCTGGGCAAGCCAATCGCCATCGGGCCTAGCCGTGACTGTCTCCCCAGGCAACAAAGAGGTCTCACACGTGTGGACGGCCTTCTGCAGGCAGCTGCTGCCTGCTGCCTGGTGTAGATGGTTTTGGGGGGAAAGGGGCAGGCGGGCAGGGAGGCTGTTTGGGTGCTCAGCGCCCAGGGGGACATCTAGGAACTTCAGGCACCGCAAGGAGAGAAAGTTTTAGACTCTCCGAAGTTGGCTGAGAGCTGCCAAAATTCCTCATGGATTTTCAAGGAGGAAGTTTAGAAATCTGTGGCCGGGACCAGCCCATCCTCGGAGCCGACAGAGCAATGGGGAGGGAGAGGTATGTGCGTGCATGTCTCACTGTGCAGCCTAGTCATTTCGCTTCCTAATTTGGTTCTGATTCTGTCTATATGTGGAAGGCTTGCTTCTGTTAAATTGGGGTTTAATGAAAGCTTTAGAGAGCATGCAAGTTTGAAGCAGAAACGTCTTGTGACACAACTTTTTCTTAGCAACTGCAGATGTGTGTAGTGATAGAGAAAAGTTCACAGGGGATATAAGTAAGTCCGTAGTTGGACTTTCCTTCCGCAGCCCGCTGCCCCCAGCACCGGCCACAGGCATTCAGACAGCCGTCCGTCGCAAGGCGGCTCCTTGGCAAACTCTCCGACGCGTTCCTCATCCCTTGGTCACGCCAAGGAATTCGGAGGCATCTGAGAGCCTGGCTGACGTGTTGTTGTGCCGTGGCATTAAAGTGTCGGCGAGCAGCTGGCTTGGGTGCTCAGCGAGAGACAGATGGAGAGGGGTTTAACGCCCCTCTGGGGTGGCGCCGCATAGCCACTGAGGTTAATTTTTCCTCTTCCCATACAATTTTACACTGTTCTTGTGTCAACAACTGCAGCCGGATATTAATGTGCCTCTTCGCCCCTTCATTCATTCCCCTCTGTGTTTATCTCGCCTTCCATCTTGGTTCTCTTGCTGTTGACATCTGGCGGGATGGGCAATAGGGGGTTAACCATGCAGTTCTGGAAATTACCACGGTACTTTCTAAGCCAGCCGCCCAACCTTCCCAGAAAGCTAGGAAATAGTTGTGCTGTGACTGGAGACGCTGTGAAGGCCTGGCTGCTGCCACTCATTTCCTGGGCTCCATAAACCAACATTATCTCCTCCACCGCCCCCCCTCCCACTTGTTTTGAAATCACAAGTGTGGTTAAACGTTGCCCAGATTTCTTACTCTCCGACTACTCAAAAGAGATTTTTTTAACCTCTACATTACTTATTCACCACCAGGGAGGATTTAGTAGGATTTGTAGCAGTTTGTTATAAAGACACGTAATCTCCTTCCAGAAGACTAGTTAGTGTCTGTCTGAGGCCTGCAGATGCTACCGGGGGAAGAGCTGAGATTAAGAGGAGGGAGGGTCTCCATCTGCAGAGATAAATTAAATTGAATTAGATTTCCAAAGGGAAGAATATTTGGGGACCTTAATTCCCACTGCTGTCATTTTTTTCATCATGGTTGCAATAATTGGACTGCAGATTGTAGATAAGAGGCCATCTTTGTGGGAGGTCAGGGTTCATTGCTGAGCCGTTCCACAAGGAGGCGCCGCAGAGCCTCCGCCGGACGGTCCACACAGGGTTCCTGAAGGCCTCATTAGGTCAGCATAATTATTGTCCTGATTAAAAAGGAGCACGAAAACTTTTAAGCTGCTAAGAGATGTCAGGTCAGGTTCTCAAAGGCTTTCATGGACGTTGTGGTCCATGTTAGCTCATTCGCTCTGCTGTGAGCCTCATAAGGGCTTTGTGTTTGCCAAAGGGCATTGTGAACAGGATTTTAGCGAACACTGAGGGACTCGCTCATTCCGACCAGCACTTCCGCAGAAGTGGAGCATAAAGATCGTATCGTGACCCCTGCAGCCCTGCGTGCGGGCCTGTACCCTCGCCCAGAGACACGGCTGCAGTGCTGCTTGGCTGCACACACTGTCAGCGTTATTGCACAGATCTGTTTCCAGCTGATCAGGCTAATGCAATAGGTGGGGGGGGGGAGCGCAACACATGCAAACAGGCCTTCACATAACACGCATGCAGAATGCATCTCTGCACAGAGCTTCTTATGGCTGCAAGGAACAAAAATGACAACTTAACCACATTGATTTACACCAAAGTGCAAGATTGTTGGATGCTGGATATTTAATTTTCCGATTCCTACGCTGGCATTACAATCACTGCAGGCAAGCAGTGTGTGTTTTCAGTAACACTTTACTTGCCAGGGCACAAATACTTAGTAGTAACTAAGTTACTTCTGAAGTACAAATCATGAACAATTATAATTGCTACTTAAAATAAAAGATGCATCTTGATTCATTAATGATGAACTAACATGAGATCAGTATTTCATTTGTGTTATTCATGACTTGTTCCTTCACTAGTTCCTTAGTAGTTCCTTCAGTAGTTCACAAAGGTTTATAGAATTAACAGATATAGCAACAAATACAGTAACTGCTTGGGATAAAACATGGGTCACAATTAATTAATGATGAATTAACATGAGTTCAGAATGTAACTAAGACTTAGTTTGTGGTTAATTAATACATAAATAATAGCATAATGCTACCTTATCTGTGCCCCGTCAAGTAGAGTGTTACCATATTTTTTCTTGCATATTTCAAACTATTATATATATTCGAGAATGATGACCAGCGAGGAGGGGCTGTATAAATACGTCACCTCTTTGGCGTCACAGAGGTTCCCCAGAGCCTCTAAGGAGCCTGCAGACCTGAACTCAGGGGCTGTTGTCACAGCAACAGTGCAGGGCTGCCGGAGCACTCGTTAGGGTAATTGACTGGTTGCTAGGCGTTTGAGGAGGAATGGTGAGTGTCTCCCGACCGTTCACACTTAAAATGACATGCTGACCCCCACGTGTCGAACAAAACACTGCGGTGCTGACTGTAGACATGGCCACTTGTAGTTCCCTGTGGCATCCTAACCAGAAGTCTTGATGCGTGTGAAAAAGCTGCAATTAAACCGGTATAAGTGAGTTTTAGGTATAAAGCTTTAGTTAGTGGGTTCAAGTTAGATTTTAAAGGAGGGGTCTCAAACTTATCCCATAGACTGGGGGCCACTGGCTAGGATGTCTCTTTCCAAAGGGGTCACTTAAGCTATGTTTTGTGCCGAAAGAGAAACAAGAGATAACTGAAAATAATGTACCGACAATAATCCGCTAATCATGCCAGCGGTGAAACTAGCTGGGTGGGGATGGAGGGATGACCTTACATTTTTTATTCTCTGTGGAAAAAGACAGATCGATCTGTTGTCCAGATTTAATAATGAATTAAAAACATGCTGTGTGTGTGGGCTGGATCTCTGTGGTAACCCAATATTTTTTAACAGAGGTCCTTGGGGACCCCCCAAGTTGGCCCACATTTTTGCCCCCTCCCCGCTCCCTACCGAAAACGTGGACCCTCTGGGGGTCCTTGAAAACCAGTTTGAGAAACACTGTTCTGAAACACTTCAAATGGGAAACAGAAAAAGAAATGGCAGATATGGGCCTTTGTCCCGTACCTTCTGGGTGCCGGGTTTGATCCCAGCTGACATCAGTGGATCCCATACTTCCTCTCTCATTTGAGTGGGTTTCCTTCAGGTCCTCCCCTCTCCACACAGCTCTACATTGGCCTGTCTGACTGTGAGTGCTGCCTCATTAACTGACAGCCCCTCCCCTAGAAATCCCCAGTGATGCTTTTAAATCACACTCCTCCCTGCTTCCCTGATCAGTACAGAGGCTCACTTAGTCTTTGTGGCCATATTCAGGACGACAGACTTTGATTTCATTTTATCTTCTTCCGGTGTTAATCCTCTGTTTGTGTGGTCAGTGTCCGCCCCCCCCCCCCCCCCATCTCAGTCATACTTTGACATCCATCCTCCCAATCACATTACTGACATTTTCCAGCCATTGTGTCACACCGAGGACCTACTAAGCCAAGCATGGAGGAAGGAGGCACCCCAGTCAGGCTGGGAGGAAGAAGGTACCCCAGCCCCCTGCCAGGCGGCCTGCGCGCAGTTCTGCCAGTGGATGCCGACCAGCACCCTACCGCCTCCAGCCCAGAGCCCGGGATGCCGTCACCCTGCTTCCCGCCGGGGTCAGCGGTGTCTGCCCTGCAGTCTAAGGTCAACGCCCTTTCCAAGCACAGGGCGGTGGGGAAGGAGCGAGACAACAGGGGGCAGCCAGTCAGATCCAGCCACTCACATGGGGGCAGGAAACTGTCACCTGTGCTCCCGGGTCCAGGATCACCCCCTTCCTGCAGGTCGTGGCACTGCAGCAGTGACGATGAGGGGGAATCCCAGCTCCAGGACCACGCCCATCCCTGGAATCACTTGACCCCACATGACATGGAGGTGCAGAGGGAGGTGGTGGGGGAGGATGAGGGTGAAGGAGGAGCCACCTCTAGTTCATCCTCTTTGCCTTGGGAAGCCTCTGCGGAGTTCAGTGTGGAAATCCTCCAGGAAGGACCATCTTCCAAGCCCCGCAGCCCCTGCAAAGGCTTCCCTCGACCCGGGACGCCTCCCACGAATGGGGGCGCCCCCCTGGTGGAGGGGAGTCCCCATAGTGAGCCGGCAGGGAGCTCGTTTGTATGGAGGGACCTTCAGAGGTCGGACAGCCTGGAGAGCCACTTTCGGCGATACTGGGAGGGGGAGCCGGACCTGGCGGCCCCACTGGGGGGGCTCTGGAGGGCCGACAGCTGGGAGAGCGTATGCAGCGGCGGGGGCGCCCTCTCGCTGGCCGAGAGGGTCGAGATGAACCGCGCCATCCTCAGGCAGATGCTCAACAAGCCCAAGAGCATAGACGCTGAGGGCCTGAAGCAGAGGCCCAAACAGAACGGGAACAAAGGTAGGAAATCCCTCATGACACCAGCGGGATCATGTTTTCTCAGCAGAATGATTAAGGGCTGTGCAGGAATCTCCTTAATCCTCAATCATGCCAGGGCCACATGTGACCAAAGGCAGCAGAGCTTAGCTCCAGATGCAGAGCAAACAGGGAAGGCTGCTGTCCCTCAGAGCGCAGCATAGAAAAGCAGGAGACCAGGCAGGCAGAAAGAAACCATGGAAAAAGCAAAGAGGGATAGAAGCCCCCATTCTGAATCAGAATTGAAAGGAGCAGAGTAGGGAGAGCTGGAGAAGACAGAGAACTGAAAAGTAAGGGGAGGAGCAGCATGCCCGTCGTATGAAGGTCCGCTTAGCCAGGGCACCCCCCTGCCTGAGGGGTAAGAGACCAGTGAGCTGAGCCCTGATACCCTGAGACCCAGATGCTGGGAACTAACAGAGGTAGGCTCAGCCAATCAGGGATTTGGTTTGCCATACACCTGAGCCAATCAGGGGCTGGGTTTGTCATACACCTCAGCCAATCAGGGGCTCGGTTTGCCATACACCTCAGCCAATCAGGAGTTCAGTTTGTCACACACCTCATCCAATCAGGGGCTTGGATTGCCATAGATCTCATTGCAAACGCCGCTGCTGTGTAAATTCACTTTAATAAATTAAGGCAAATTTATTAAGATCCGGCCATCAGAGTAATATGTAGGAATGACTTGGAATGACTAAAGCACTATTTACGGTCAGTGATATATCACCACATGTATGTCCTTATAATGAAGGGTAACAGTGTTGTGCTTATTGAGCAGATGTATCTCTGTAGGACATTACAGTTACATGTCTCTGAACTCCAAAGCAACCCTGAATGACAGCGACTGGGACTCCGGCATCTCGCTCCAAGATGGCGAGCACTGCGCAAGGTACGGCTGAGGCTGCGGGCTGCCCCGCTCCCATCCACGTGGCCACACACACGACAGCGAAATGCTGTTACGGCTTCACAAAATACAAAAGCCAGGCCCTTAGGAGCCTGTTTGTTTGTTATTAACAGCACCTCCAACGAGCTGTGCAAAGGCAGACAGATCACAGCTTGTTCTGGAGACATGCTGTGATTGGTCAAACCTACCACTCAACATGAGATGCTATTGGTTGCTTCTGTAACCCCTCCCCCATTTCCTCACCTAGGATGACTTCATTACACAAATGAAGAGTCTTCAGCAGTCTAATCTCTATGATCCTCTGTCAGCAGCATATGCCATTAGAACCGTTCTGGACTGACGGGACACATACTCCCTTTCCAACTGGACCTGTTTTACGTGTTTTTTTTCATGGCAGTAAATGTCCAAAGACGGCATTTCAGACAGAACATCGTCCAAACATTACAAGTCGACTTACATAAGCTATGAAACCTATTCAGCGGCAACCTGGATGCAGGGGGAAAATCCGGCAATTATGGAGAGAACGCCACGTGTAAATCCGGGAAAGCAAATAGGAAAATGAGAAATACTGGATATGAAAAACAGCAGTGAAGGAGAGCAGTGTGAAGGCACACAGTGCATGTCCACACGCGCAGGCAGGCGTGCACACACACACACACACACACACACACACACACACACACACACACACACACTCAGCCCCATCAGCTTAATTAGCAGTGACGGCCTGCTTTGGCTAATCCTGCACTCTCTGAGTTGTCCCCCCCCCAGAAGCTGACGTATATCTCTCTGTCCCCCTGCCCCACCCCCTCTCGCATGGGCAGCAGGGCCTTTGTGCTCGGTGATGACCTACCTCTGAGCCCCCGGCAGGAGCAGGCCAAGAGGCTGCTGGAACGCGCGCGTATGAAGGCCCGCTGCAAGCCGCTCAAGGCGGACCACAGCATCCTGCCCGTCCCGAGGGACAGCAGTCCGTAAGTGCCCCCGCCTGCCCGCCGCCCCCGCCTGCCCGCCACCGTTTATCCGCCAAGCTTAGCCGCCGCAGACACCTGGCCCCGGGATCCCAGCGCAAAGCCAGTATAAATTAGGAAAGCCTCCCCTTCTGCTCCATCCCTCCCCACCCCAACCCCCTTCCCGCTTCCCTTCCCTTTTGCTTCATGGGCTGAGGGGCTGCGGCTCTGCGTGTTGCTTTTGTGCCGCGTTCAGACTGGATGGTGCCGGCGCGTCCAGACGGAACCTGGCGGATCACGGGGAGCCCTCCGGGGCCTCGGGGCCGCCCGATCCGCGCTGGAGGGGTGCCTTCGGTCACACACACACTTACAGCCCCCTTGATTTCACTCCGCGGCGTCTTTAAAGTGCAAAGTGCACAGGCTCATTCTGACCACAATGCTCACCAGGGCTCACCAGGGCCCCACGAGTTTGTGCATCTCCTATATTAACCCTTATTTGTCATTCAGCAAGTCATAGCACATAATCTCTAAACAGCATTACCTTGTTAAATATATAAAATATACGATTCCTTGTCCTGTGAATGTATGATCTGTACTTCACAGTCCGCCGATGTTTTTGTGCAGAGCTTATGAACCAGCTGCTGCCAAAACTAACATCAGGAAAAAAACATGAAAGTATAACGGTTCACCAGTATATACATCTCCTGGCTGTAGATGCTGCAATGTTTGTAAAATCTTATATAATCTTATAGAAAACCTAAGTTGCCAAAATAAAATGGGTGCCATTATGTCCTGTCCTTTTCAAAGCCTTAGAAAGAACTGTCTGTGGGACAAACAGCTGGACCCCCCTCCCCCCCAACCCGCCGTGTTATGCAAGCTGGCCAGAATTATGCAAGATATTCTTGTGATTCATGATTATCACTTAATCTCTGCGCTTTTCAGTTACATTATGATCAAACAACCATAAAGAGGAGATTTTCCCAAAATCAGCATTCTGTTCTTTGAAGAAATATTTATATAGTTCATTTATTATAAATTTTTTTTTTTTTTTTTTTACAGAGCCATTAAATGTAGTTGAGGATGTATTGTCATTGTACTGGTTACAAGTGTAACAAAACTCAACATTCACCTAGAAACATGAATCAATAAAAAAATACTAAAAAGCACAAATACAGATTCCCAGTGTTAAAACTCACAGCAGCTGCAGTGATTTATCACACCACGTCCCAACGGAATTACGTAATGGCTTCGCATTTACATCGCAGTTTAAACCAGACACGTCTAAGAAAAACATTTTCTTTCTTAAATGTTTTTTTTTCTAAGAATGTGCATACTTTTTCTTAGTTTCTATTCACTGTATTATTTTAAGATTGTTCAAATTGAACAATTTCAGGATATTCCCTTCAATCACTAAAATATTTCATTTCCTAGTCCGTATGGGATGGACATAAATCCCCACATAAGCTGTAGCAAATAGACTGAGACACTGAAAAGAGAGTGAAACAATGTTACAAATACAGTGTAAAAGCCAAACCCTGAGACACTTACGTAACTGTAATGTCCTACAGTTTGTGTTATGCAACTACCTATTAAAATAACAGCTCCTGAAAAGAAAAGCAGTAACGTGGTTATTATGAATAAATCAAGATTAAAATATAAATAACATTCTTTGCAATCATTTACTGGCAATATGACTGAATGTAAACCATACCATTGTTGACTAACTGTCACAGGAAAACACAATTTTATCTGCAATATATCGGATAATAATGTAGATGATGGCTTCTTGAGTTCTCATTATTTATATAAGATCCATTTACGCACCCAGAAGCCCTGGAGACGTAAACACTGACCGATAATTAAGATTCCAGAGGACTGTCAAGAACATTAGAGACGAATCTCCTTCAGCGTTAATGCCACTTTACCAGTAATAATTGTGTGTGTGTGTGTGTGTGTGTGTGTGTAATGTCCCCATAACGTGATAAATATCCCCATAAGGGAAAACTGTATTTTATAAAAATCGGTGACTGCTATGAAAAAACTAAAAATGCAAAAACTCTTGTATTTTGTTTGGTTACTTATGGTTATGGTTAGGGCAGGGTGGGGGTTAAGGTTGTCATAGTTAGCGTTAGCATTTTTCCCATTGAAATGAATGAGCGGTCCCCATAAGGATATGTTTACCCTACATGTGCGTGTGTGTGTGTGTCCGGCAGGGAGGCCCTGTCCAGGGCTGCAGCACCGCTGCTCAGGTCTCTCCCAGGAAAGGAAGGGGCAGCATCAGGAAATCTGAGTGACTCATCGAGCAGCGACTCAGCCTGCGGCCCCCGCCGGCGACACGGCCAGTCCCCCACGCGGGTGCGCTTTGAGGACGAATCGGAGAAGGACGCCGAGGTGCGCTACCTGGAGAGGCTGCGGCAGAGGCGGCGGGCGGGCGAGAGGGCGCAGGGCCTGCTGGTGTCCAAGCCCAACCTCTCTGCTTACGTCAACGGCAAGAAGGATGGCGGAGATCCTGGCGGGGCGGCCCGCCGAGGGCGAGCGGCACAAACCGTGCCTGAGTGCCGGGCCTGGGGGCCGCAGGAGGACAGCCTGGGGAATGGCAGGGGGAGGGTCATGATTGTGAGTAAGGATCCGACCAGCAGGAAGTGTCACTCTTGCGGGGGCTTAGTGGATGGGCCCCCAGGGTCCCGTGCCAATGCCGGCTTGAGCCCCCCATCACCACAGCAGCCCCATGGGAAGGGCACGCCGAGCCAAGTGCCGGTGAACAGTGTGAAGCGCACGGTCCGCACCGAGCGCATTAAGGAGACCTACATCGGCGAGGTTGCCCTCACAGAGGACCGTGGCCCTGACTGCCTGCACAGTGATGGCGGGAACCTGAGCACCAGGCCGTGGCCCCCTGGAGAAGAGTGGCAGGTCTCTGGTGATGTCACAGTGCTGCCTCCCAACCCATATGCTGCAGAGCAGCCTGAGAAACCCTGCCACTGCTCGGTGTCCCTGGAAACTCAGGTGCGCCCCCCGATGGATGCCAGTGGCCATAGCCATCAGGACACCAGTCCTCTGCCAAAAAAATCTGCCCTGAAATTGGGGCCCAGGAACCGGCCGAGCGGCCAGTGGGTGATGAAGCTCATGCCCTCACCTCAAGGCCTCTCCCCCCACTTGGATTCCCCTGAAAGTCTGGAGTCAAGACTCCCCCAGGGGGCGGAGCAAGAGCCACCTGCCCCTGCTGCTGCATGTCCCTGCCAGGAGCAGCAGTGTGTCGGGCCGGGCTACAGGCCAGAAAGCTCCGCTCTACCCCCTCTGAGCTGGGGCCCAGGTCCATGCATCAGGCCCTCTGTACTGAAGCTCCCCCCCAGCAGGGCTCTGCCTGACCACCCGGCTCTGGAGCCCTGGGATGGTGCACCGGAATCAGCAGGTCAGCACAGGCACACGCATGCACACAGGTGCTGCACCAGCATGCACACCGACACTGCACATCTATCCATCCATCCATCATCTAACCATTCTTCCTGGGTAAGAGTCACTTTGGGCCTGGACCCCATTCCAGGCAGCATTGGACACTAGGCTGGGGTGTTGTAGCATTGCAAAACCTGCCATGGAAGCCATAATTAATCTCAGAACTTACTGGAACAAATACCTGGCCAAAGCAAGTTAACCTTAAATAACACTAATCGTTGCACATTTAACGACTTCATTCACTCGCTGCCTGGGTTTTGGGGGCTGCGGTAAGATTTCCGTCCCTTCCTCATTCACACTGCACTCTCAGAACACTGCCCATAACATCAGATGATGATGCGAAGAGGCGATGAAGGTGCCAGCAGATCGGCAGTGAGCCCCCTAGAGGGTCACTGAGCCAAGCTTAACGCTGGACAAAATACTCAGTTTGTCTAGAGACACATTTACTTTGAAGGTTGTTGATATGTTTTTACAGGCCTGCTGCTCTTCTCTCTTCCACAGGTCACTACCAACAGTGGAATGGAGACCAATGTCAAGACCCCGCCTCTGCCTCACGAGCCCCCAACTGTAGGCCTGACGGGCGGGTCAGGGGGCCAATGAGAGCAGAACACCTGAGGGCAGACAGTCCTGACATGACTCTGTGAGTAGCAAAATTGTGTCATGCTGTCATATGATAATGGTTAAGAGACTAGACTTTTTTTGAAGGGCAGGTTTGGGGGGATAAACTCAGGAATTTAAACATAGGACTCTGGTGACAGTCAGGAATTTAAACATAGGACTCTGGTGACAGTCAGGAATTTAAACATAAGGCAGATCCAGGTAGTTTCAATTATGATGCAACACTACCACCTCTTGCTCAGAAAGGGAAGTGCAGGCTTAGATAAACTGACCTTATCTGCAGTGAAGTTTTCTCAGAGCCTGAGCTTGTGTCCGTCTCCGCTTGTCAGCAGACCGGAGCCCTACAGGCGGGCCCCAGAACATGGTTCTGAGCAGCGTGAGGGCAGATCCAAACTATCACTGCGCAAGTTCTTCTCTGCTATTGGACTGAACAGCGTCGGCAAGCTGGTGAAGGCACGTTCCAGCAGCATGGAACACCTAAGCCTGCCTGCCAAGCAGAGCGCTGCCCCCCTCAGCCCCCCCCACGGCCAGCTGAAGAAGGCACCCTCACTCCAGACACTGAATGTGGTGAGGCCCCTCACCCTCAGCCTCCCTCTTCCTCCTTCCGGGAGCTCATAGATTTACACGTGACATTCAGTACATCCATGAACCTGATCATCTATTAAAGCAATTCTAGGGCTCCATGCAGGAGCAGAGTTACTAGAACAAGGGGTGTCTGTAGTCTCTTAAATCAGGGGTCTCTATCCAGCCCTCGATGTTTATTAACCATAATTAAATCGATGGATCGTTTTCCAGAGAACATTAAAAAACAATAAAACAGCATTCTGCTAGTCAGCGTCAGCAAAGTCTGGCAACATCAAATGACAAATTCATACATGTCAACCTAGCTGCAGTGAAAACAGTGAGTTGGGTGTTGGAAAACATGTACATTTTGTTGAACTCCTTATGCTCATATCTGTTGCTTTTGTTATTACTCTTATTACTACAAAAGAACGCTTGTAGTTAAACAGACACAATTTGCGGGTGACTTTCACCTGTTTTGATTTCTCGATACAATCATACTGAAGGTTCCTTTGATCTGACAATTTTGACAAATAATGCCCGGGGCGTTTCGCTTCTGGCTGTCTTGTCTCAACTATTTTGGGCGTAACTGACTGCAGTATCACAAAACTACTTTGCTGCCCGGGGTCCCAGCAGAGACACACCGGCTCTGTCCCATGTGCGTGCATGTCCGTGCGCTTAGCGCAAGTATTCAAAGGAATCCCGTTCCGGATGATGTTGAAATCCCGCTATGAAAATGGTGCTGCTATGGCCTCCTTTCGCCACCAGGAGTCTCCCTTGACCCAGTTGCGGAAAGCCTCGTCTGTACAAAGCCTGCAATCCCCCAAGAGGAAAACAGACCGGTCGGGTGCGTATGCCCCAGGACAGCAGCCTTGCAGCCCAGTTTACAGGTAAAACTACAGCGGTTCAGTCCAAGGCCACTGCTCAGTTTATGGTTAATTATAGTCTGCTAAACATTCCTTAAAATTAAGAATGAAGTTCTACCTCTGCAGTGTTACAAATTAAACATCATCCTCACTTTGGAATAATACTCTACTGAAAGAAATTATTTTTAATGGAGCATGTTGGTTTTTAACATGCACAGTTTTAAAAATATACCAAAATAAGTGACTTCTTGATCATTTTCCCTCCGGATTATCTCTGAAACTGAAGACAACCTATTAATCCTAAATTAAGGAGAGCTGTGTTCTGTTAGCACCTATATTCCTGCCACGAAAGCCAGCAGGAAGGTCGCGGAGGCGACGTGTCAGTCCGAGAGTGTGTCGACACACTGTTAATGGGCACTGCTAGAGCAAAGGGGTTTGCCAATTAAAATAAAGACGAAACACTATTAAATAAGTGCAATTAGAATACAGGCCTTAGAATAGTTAGCGTGATTGTTAATGCAGCTGATAACAGAATTCCACATTAGCAGCCTGAGGGTTAGAGGAATTCATCTGGACGTCCTGACTGCTGCGAGATGTTTATGAATGAATATATATATCATTTATCATGTCTGGGGGGGGGCATCCACGGGGGCGCGTGTTGGCCGCGATCAGGAACGGCTGAAGCATTTCCGGCCCGTAGAGACAGCTGGTGTTATGTGCGACTGGAATAGTTTCCATTTGTGCCAGTGCGGGTGGGGGGGTGGGTCTGCTAAAAATAGTGAGAAGCATGCAGCCAAAAAAAGTGACGATACACAGGAGGCGGGTGGTGGATGTGGAAGGGCGGGGGCAGAGTCTGGAGTGGGGGGGGGGGAACCCGATAGCTGCTGTGACGGGGACGGGCTGGGGGTGGCACTCGGCCCGTCTCGCACGGGATCCCGCCGTCGTCAGCGTAGATACCGGATCCGACATGCAGATGTCATCGCTCTCCTCTCAGGCGACGCCCCTCCAACCGCTCATTGTGTAGGAGCCTCTGATCCGGGACTTTACGTTTTTAATATTGCATGTTTCCCCGAAATGTCTTGTTATTGGGTAGATGCAGTAAATGCACCGACATTCCCTACGTCTAGCAGGTTTGTGGCGCGATTTAGTGTTTGCTTTTCTGTTTCAACAATAACATGTACCCAGATGATCCTCTCCCCTGTATGTTTGTGTGTCCAGCAGGGGGCTCCAGCGAGCACTGAGCGTGGAGGATGTGGGCTGCCCCAGTCTGGTGCGGTCAGTGGGCCGGGTTGCCCAAGCCTTCCCTGATGGGACTTTGTTGCTGGAGCTCAGCAGACCCTCCCATGGCCCCTTTGGCTTCCTCATCTCTCGTGGGAAAGGGCGACAGGATTCAGGTACTGGAAGGATCCCCCGTGCAGCGTCTGCATTGTCGTGATTATGTTGATATTAAGGATACCCCCATGAGAGGCGCGTTGCTAGCTGATGGCCCCCCTCCCGTGTCGCAGGTGTGTACGTGGAGGAGATGGGGGACAGCAGCACGCAGAAGCTCTACGCCGGTCTGCTGGGGATCGGAGACGAGATCCTGGAGGTGAACAGGGAGAAGGTGGCCGGGCTGAGCCTGGACCAGGTCACACGGCTCATGACACAGGAGAGCACGGCCTCCATCCGCGTGCTCCGACACCGCCGCTTCCCGCGCTGACTGCAGAGCAACCAAGCCTGGGATGGCATCCAGGCCGAAGAGGAACATCATGGGGGAAGCGGGTGACGAGACATCCATCTCCTCAGTAGATGCCTGGGGGATTTCAGAGCTGTCATGTTATTCCTAAATGCTCTTCCCATCCTTCTTAAACCTTTACCTGTACTTCAAACTGTGGAGATTACAGTGGACTTGCTTCAATGATTAACATATACAGTAAGACTGTTTTGTGGCCATCCTGCAATCCAGTCTGCCCTTGACCTAGCCCAGTCATGTGACCTGAGTATGTTGATTTATGTTCCTGGCCTGGTCATGTGACTGGAGGATGCTGGTTTATGTTCCTGGCCTGGTCATGTGACTTGAGTATGCTGATTTATGTTCCCGGCCTGGTCATGTGACTGGAGGATGCTGGTTTATGTTCCTGGCCTGGTCATGTGACTGGAGGATGCTGGTTTATGTTCCTGGCCCGGTCATGTGACTGGAGGATGCTGGTTTATGTTCCTGGCCTGGTCATGTGACTGCAGGATGCTGGTTAATGTTCCTGGCCTGGTCATGTGACCTGAGTATGTTGATTTATGTTCCTGGCCCGGTCATGTGACTGGAGGATGCTGGTTTATGTTCCTGGCCTGGTCATGTGACTTGAGTATGCTGATTTATGTTTCTGCTTGACTCAGTATGGATATTTAGTAAGTTCTGGTTATGATTCAATATTCAAGGTTTTCTAAATCCTTTGTTCCCCGTAACCTCATTATCAGTGTTTATTAAACATAATTGTGTTTTTAATTAATGACTTTATTACATAATAGTTGTTGGAGTCATATATCAGATGATGAAAACTAGGTTTAATACTAGTTTGAACACCTTCATACTTATTGAACTTGTAACTCTTCTACTCACAGAACATAGCTTTTAATGGTACCCACTGGTAAAATGAGGCCGCCTGAAACCTAAACCAGCATATACAGGGCCAAGGCTGTATCCTGGCAAAACTATTGAGATTCATAAAATTCATTTTCTTATTAGGGTGACCGACAAACATTGATGGGCTAGCAGGGGGCACAGTGCCTAAGGAACTGGCCTGACCCAAAGCCTGCAGACATTAATTCTGAGTTACAGCCCTGCTGTTGTTCCCTGAAATGCGAATCCTGAACAATGAAATTGCTTCTTAGGTCACAAGGTGACGCTGCAGAAGATTCCGACTTCAGTCGCTTATTAGGAAACAATCTGGCACGTGTTCTAAAGCCAGAGATAAGCCACCTATGAATTAACACAGATCAGATGAGGCTGTGAATTGTGCGGATTTATATCACAGTGTCATTTATCCCGCCATAAACACCCGCCCACGCATCTGAAGGCTCCGGATACCAGCGCATTTAGACGGATTTATTTTCTATGTCCGAAGTTAACTTGTGCTTTTCTAATGTAGAACCACGCTTGACAGAAGGGAGGGGGAGTGCGATGGCATTTATTAATAAAAGACAAATCATTCATGTTTACATGACAACCCTTGTGAAACACGTACAACTCCCTGGTAGAAACATTACGTTAATGTTTACCAGGTAATTCGGGGGACATCAGGGGAGACACAAAGCAGTCCTCACTTCACGAAGCCTGTCTGCAGAGTCCTGGTGTCCTGTTACGAAGGGTGACCAGGCCAATTGCCTGGGCTTAAACTAAGGAAGGCTCTCATTTTTTCCATATCTAGATGCATAGAAAACATCCAGGCGAAGGACCACCTGAGAGTGTTTATTTATTGGGGATCAGAAAGAGTGAACTTTATGAAGCCCGAATCCCAAATGACAGTGAACAGGGCAAAGTAGTTATGAAAAACAGTCCGGTTGTGTAGTGATTCCACAAGAAGGGTTTGTTACAGGGAGGCGAGGCGCACTCACTCAAAAGATGGAGTGATGAAACTGAAATCACAAACTTTCAGCCAAGACCAACAATTTCATGTTGTTTTTTCAGATCAGATGATGTCATTTGGGTTATTTTTCAAGGGATTTAAGAAAAAGTGAAAACTGTGATGTCTCCAGTGCCCAATGACTCAGCCTAGGATGCATAGAATATACATTTGCACATTTCCACTGCAGTGTGTGCCAGTATTAATTTAGTCCTGTGATGTAACAATGTAACACTTTCCATTGGTGACAAAACATGGTGCTGATACCAAAAAAGGACCCCAGTGCGATTAATGTTTCACATCCGGACCAGCGAGGCGGCCCGTTTCCCATTTTATCACCTACAACTTTTTCACTATATAAAAGCTGAGAGTCATTCTCTAATTATAACAGGTCTCTGAGGTCACAGCCAACCGGACGTCAGGGCTTACCTGCAAGGGTGGGACATGAGCTCATATCTACAATTGCATTATTACACCTTCTAGGTATTTCTGCTGTCATGTTTACAAATCAAGGCGAATAAAGAATTTGAATATATGAAACTGTACATTATATCTTTTTGCTGTTTAATCACTGGGTGTAAAGTCAACACAACTGAAATGTTTGACGGTGGCTGTAGGTGTGTAAGACATACCGAGAGCCAGCTTCCTATAAAAAGAATCCCGCATGTGGACATCAGTTGTGGTTTTGTGGGAAAAAACAGCCATTTGGGTCACGACTCCATGCAACAGACGCGGACACCCCTGGCGGTAACAAACCCGGGCTTCATCTGTTCAAGGAACCCCCCACCCTGGCTGACAAAAAGGGCCGCTTTCCCTTTAAGAGCAGTGGGCCGGAAGCTCAGGGGGTGGGGGGGGGCTGAGCGGTGACAGATGTGTGGAGAGCTCAGGGCCTCAGGTGGCCAGACAGCCGAAAGAGGAGATGCGGGAGGGTTCTGGCGATCAATATGCTGCCCCACCCCCCACCCCATGGCTTTCTGGATATGGGTTGAGAGATCAGCCCACACCTGCACCCAGCCACCCAGTACCCTGTGAGCAGACACACAGCCAGACCATAAAAGGCAGATGTATAAAATGTGTAAATGCGCACCTCACTCCCAATAAGACTCCTATATATTTCTTTGTTCTTCAGAATCCTGTGACATCATTTCGTTTTCTTGGGAAGTTCGGAATGTTCCATTCTGACTGTTGCCAGTGGGGGTGTGAATGTTTAATATCATCTGACACCCTGTCATAGATTACACCGACGTGACTCACCGAGTAGGCGAAAAACGTGGATGTGCGGCCGGTGGACACGGTGCCCCCCCAGAAGGGGACAACAAAAAGCCGATTCTTTAGAAAAAATGGCACTTGGGGGGGGAAATCCCCGCACACTGGGAAATGCAGCGAGCCGGGGCTGCAGCTGAGGTAGCCGATGGGGGGGCTGTGATGTGACGCAGGTAGGCAGGTTATGCGTGACGCGGATCCGCCTACGAGGCCCAGCGGCACCAGAGAGGCCGGGGTGTGTGCGGCACGTCCCCCCCCCCCCAAACGCGGCCCAGCACGGCCTCCCAGCCTTTGTCTCTGCCTACGAGTATATGCACGCGCAGGTTTAGGGGGGGGCGCTCCTCGTGGCCCTGACCCCCCTGACAGAAGCACCTTGCGCTCTCTAGCTCTGCATTGCTATGCTAATGAGGCCAGCTGTCTGGGCCCTCCCCCCCTACCCCCGGGGGGGGTGTGCTCAGCTGGCTTCCACCCCCCTTCTCTTTGTGGATAAAGGGGGCGAGTCGGAGACCTGCAGCCTGCACCTGCTGCCTGCCAGACGCCCCCCCGGCCCCGACGCAAACAGACCTCCGGTAATTAGCTCTCCCTGGCCTTTGTAAGGAGACACCCACAGCCACCCCCACCTCCATCACCCGCCTCTTCCTGGGACTCTTTTAAAGCACGACCCCCCACCCCGGTCCCAGAGATGCAGATGACGCCGCCGAAAAGCGACTTACGGACCCCGGTGGTTCACTCAGCTCATTGACGATGAACCACAACCGAAATAAGAATGTGTGACAGGTGAATCTGCTTTATGGGCCGCGGAAAGGGCTTCCCCACAGAGTCATCGGGGACCCCCCCCCCCCAAAATGAAGCGGGCAAGTGCGTGTTTCCCACTACTTCATGACCATAACCCAGCTACCCTCCACTTTTAGGCCGAATGGGTGACGGGAGTCTGGGGGGGGGGCAGGACCATGTAGCAGTCATTGGTTGCTTTGTTATGATTCATCTATCCATCTTTCAGCTCCTTAGAAGGGGGTCTAATCTTGGTCAGGGAGCCTGGAGCCGATAATAATAATTATGAAAATCATATTATCATCATATTATTATGCTTCATAGGAAGAAATACACTGAAGTCAGAAGGGCAAAACACTTTAATGATGACAACTGCAGCAATTTTCAGAAGTCAGACCTTGTGATCAACTAGACACATGATCCAGAGGTCAAAGGGTTTCAGAAACAAATGGCTGGAAGAACTGTGCACACACACACACACACACACACACACAAACACAAAAACACAAACAGGAGCCCTAACGACAGATGGAATGCTCGTTTGCTCATGTCCTCATTCGTCAACGGCACACTAGACGAACAACAAAAGTGTTCAACTCAGTCAACAATGACGCCCCTCTGACATTACGGCTGATGTCCAAATATTATTTTACCTCATGATCCATCATCAGTCTCATATTTACAAAAAAGTCACCAACTCCAAGACATTTTCATCATCATATTTCCTTGTAAAAATAACCTCTTTCCGTAATGGGAAAAGCAACAGGGCACATCGGGAGCTTGGAAACAATTTTAAAACACAGATTACAAAGTTAAAAAGAGAGAAATCAACCAAAAACAACAAAAAAAGCACAAACAAATAGATCAGCAGGTTGACACACTGTCACACTTAGTTAAAGTGGCTTTATGTCGAGGACAGGCAGCAGAGAGAGTGGCTGATTTTACCCATCAGAAAGCATCTCCTTAGCGAGATCAGATCAGGGTGTAAACTCACACGCTCTCTGTCCCCTACGCAGTGTTACCCCGTGATCCCCACGGACCACAGCCATGACGCCGATGAAGCCCCAGCTGCACTTGGGTGGTGCCGCAAGCTCGGGGGATAAGGGCCGAACAGTGTGGCTCCCCTGTGCATCTCCCCCTGCAGGAGACAGGAGGCACCACACCTGAGGCCCCCCCCCCCCCCCACCCCCAATGTCCGCAAACACTGTGTTGATCTGCAAGCCCTGGTTCTTCTAAAAAAAAAAAGCAGAGTGTTTTTGTATATCCAGCTTGGGATGCCAGTCCATTGCAGGGCAGACAATCAAACACAGAACTACAAGCTATGGCCACAGGAGAGACACCTGGTCTGAAAGTCCACATAAGCAGGGGAAGAACAGATACCCAGTGAAGGCCCAAACCCAGCATCAGCGCCACCTACTTGTCATATGATGTATTACTGACTGGTCCTCAATCACGGCACACTATGTGGACACTTGTTAGGGGACAGACCACCATACAGTCATTAAGATATAACATTTCCTGCTGGTCATGACCAGCAAGTTCCAGAGGTGAATCAGCGTGAAACCAAGGTCACAGCGGACTGTCCTCATCAGTGTTATTGAATTCCCCATGACAGCCTATATCAGCCCAAGCAGTAGTAATACTCTTGAAGAACAAACGCAGTTTCTCAGTTTTATGCTCAGCATATTTCATACGCTTCTTCTGTGCATTAGACCATTTCTAGCAACTGGAGGCCAAACACTCCAGAAGTCGAGTGTTAATGAGGTTAGTGATTCACCTGCTCAGTGACGGTGACATAATCCTGTCAAACATCCCAGCGCTGACAGGCACACGTATGCGCACGCGTGCACACACACGCACACGCGCACACGCACACGCACACGCACACGCACACACACTCACACGCACACGCACACGCCCGGCTCCCCACCGTCTTCCAGAGCTGGGATTACGGTGCATCAGGAAGACAGACAGGCCACAGGGGAGGGTTCGGAATGCCGCATCTCCATGGAGACAGGCAGCTGCGTGCTATTCCCCTCTGCCAATCGAACCCGGAGTCACACATTTTCAGAACTGAAAGGTAAGACTGCCTAAGAAAGCCACCCTGTGAACAAACACAAATTCAAAAAGGTTTTTAAAATGGCTTTCATGGGCCACCTGCAGAAAATGTTAGAGACTTGCCTGGAAATGTTACATAGCTGCTGGCCCACAAGCCTGACAGAGACACACAGCTCAGCTTGTCACTGTAAAGGGGCAGGGGGGGGGGGGGGGTTTGACCTTGTAGCACTGCAGTGGGTGGGACTAGGCAGAGCCCCCCTGGGACAAAGCCAAACTATCCCACAAGCAGATTGTGATGTCAATGGGATCCAGGGTGTTTTTTTTTTTTTTTATAAAAAAAAAAAAGCATTTTTCAACGTGAAACCGTGTCGCATGAAAGAATCTGGAGGTGCCATTCTACCCAATTGGAAGGCAGGTGAAAAATCTCTCTTCCCAGTCCTGACATGGTGAACCCAACAGCAAACTGGGAAGGGAGAGGGCTGGGACTGTGCCAGGGAGCAGCGTGGTTAGTGGCGGGGAAGGGGGGAGTGGGCTTGTCGTCACAGAGCATAGAAGAGGATGAGGATCACGAAGAGAATGGCCAGGAGAATGCCGATAGCACACCACTGCCTCCTGTCTGCAAATGGAAGCAAAGACAGGAAATAGTATGAGTGGCAGGGGGACCGGATCCCCCCCCAGCTGACAGCAGCAACAATAAAACAAGGATGTACAAAAAAAATGAAAAATATCCAGATCTGAATGAATTTCCTGTCTCTGTACCAAGCACTTCCTGTGCGGGGCTGAGAGCGGACTTTCCGGGGGTGGCAAGCTAAGAAAGAACCGCCTATCCTTCCTCTCCAGAGTGACCCCAGCAGACGCTGGGACAGGAAGCCCAGCAGAAAATCACCTGAGCTGGGAGAGGCTGACCGACCATATTCATACATCACAACAATCCGGGGCCCCAAACACATCTATAACGGGCAGGAAAATTATGATACACGTTACCTGTAATAGTACCTTCATTTATTTACTAGGGAAGAAACCATTAGACAATTTATTACTATTATCAGTATTTCCCAATCCGGTCCTTGGGGATTCAGGGAGCTCAAGCGTGGACTGGCCATGGGTCCATGAGGACTGGATGGGGAAACACTCCTATTATCATTAAAGAATGAAGAAGTGAGACTGGTTAACCATGATTATGACTGAAGGTTAGCACAGCGCCGCGACTCACCGCTGGTCATGTGAGAAACCTTAGCCAGCTTCTTCATGACGTTGTCCAGCCGTGACTGAGTGTTCTCCATCTCATGGGAGAAGTCATCGAGCATCCTGAACACAGAACACAGAAACCCCAGGAGGTGAAACATCACACGTATCACCCAGAAAGCCAAGGTATACACCACTTAGCTCAAAATAACAGCTAAAGGTTAAGTCCATCTGTCATCAGCAGTGCTCCTTAAAGGTCACGTGGTTCAACAAATGTACCCAGTTTCACTTTCTGGACCACAACCAAGTCAGCAGGGGGAGCATTTCGTATTTTAATAAGTGGACGGTAAAAGCGCGTCCCCAGCAGCCTGATGTTGGCTGAGTACTGACAGATCGGCATCTCACACTGCCTGCTCGTCCAGCTCCTGGCCGATCCGCTGCGACATGTTCTTCAGGACCCCGATGCTGCCGGACACCAGCTCCAGCTGCTCGTCCTGCTGCTCGGCGATCATCTGGTATGGGGACGTGACTAAAATGTCACCGAGCGGCTGGTGACGCGAAGATGGTTGGCAAGGCACACACCCTCACGGCCAAATACGGACAACGGAACAGAGCGAACGGCAAAGACATAAACATTGGGAAAGAACATTCCGGTGCTTATTCACAACTGTGACTTAATGGGGAAAATAAGTCATTATATAACATAATCTATACTAAGGAGAAAGGTTGAAATGACATCACGACAATACTGCCCATTTGAGCCGTAAGAACATGGATCCATACATTACGATCAGTTATAAATAACCACTCATCTGTCTAGGGTGGTGATGACTCAGAGGCTATGTGAGTAGGAGGGGGCGTAGGGGAGCGCGGTGGAGGTGGGGGTAGTCCTGACGCACCTGCTGCTGCGTGTGTTGCTCCTCAATGAACTGCGAGTTGGCGGTCTGCAGTTCGCGGTCCAGCCGGCTGTATTTGTCTGGCCCCGGCTGCCACTGTGGCCCTTGAGAATTGCCATCCCCGAGCAAGGTCTGCGAGAGCGAGCGAAAACAGTAATATAGTTTGGAAAGATATGATCACAAAGTGAAATTTGTGAATATGTGAACACGTTCATCTATGGTTTGACCCCAGCGATATCACCCAATGCTCACTGGCAGCCTCTCACGCCTGCTTGCGTTTTAACTGCAGATTCACAGAATGGTGCCCAGTGCTGCTTCTAAATGACCAGACCTTCCTCTCCCTTCTATACACCCAGCCGAGGTCCCCCCTCTGCTGCTGTCGCTCTAATAAACGGACGCCACACCCCTTGTGTGACTAAACTGTCTGCTTTCCTTCATCTCCCTCCCCTTCAGACCACCAAAACAATCTTTGGGTAACAGACCTGCCTGCCCTTTTTCTCCGACATCGCTTGGGCCCTTGGACTAGACATGCTGTCCTTCATGTCCTGTGGGGGAGGGGTAGAAACCAAATTATGCTCAAACAGATGATATATACACACACATATATATATATATATATATATACACACACACATATATATATATATATATATATATATATATATATATATATATATATATATATATATATATATATATATATA